AGGTCCATTTTCACTTTCAGAATTATGGTTGTGATTTCTGGTTGCACGATCCTCCCTCAGCTCCTGAATAATTTGCTGATTAGTTACAGTTTGTTCTCTAAGAGCTTCTGCCACTCGGGTAACCGCATCCGTTACTGGGTTAACTTCTGGTTCAGAAGTTGAAGAAGATATCTGCCTTGTATCTACCATAGATCTACATATATTATTTTATGATAGTGAGTTGATCAGGCTCATTAAAATAGCTTAAAATATGCATGATCTATGACAAAATACCAAGCAATTATCATAGTTTAGATCTTTTACTTACCTGAATCGCTGCTCTGATACCATAAAATATAACATCTTCATTTTAAAAAAAGTAAAACAAAAACGTAACAGATTGTGCCAACGCATGTGAAGAAAACTAATTAACTAGAACTAACATCCTTCATTTTATAAACATGGATGTGGATTCGTACATAAACTTGTACAAACTTCATATATATATATATATATATATATATATATATATATATATATATATATTACATATATATTTAGTCTACTTCCTAACTTACATCATTATTTTACATAAGTCCTACATCCTACGTTAGATTACATTACTGTATATATATATATATATATATATATATAACATTCTTCAGTCACACACTATTACATGATCCTTGTTTAGTCCAAAGTATACGCATAAGTCTCCACCCTGTCAGGATAAAATACAGCTACATCTCCTTGATTCCCCATCACAATATAGTATTCCCAACGGTCACTATAAAAATTAACAGTAATATTCCATCATTCTCCACAAAAAGACAAGTTAGGCATCTGGAAAGATTAACAAAGAAAATAAAACGTGAGAAAATTCTCAGTAATATTGAGGTTTTATAACTATAACTATTCCAGCCGTATTAACGAAAAATATATCATTCTCTCAAGTAATTTCATAAAATTATTGCAGGAATAAAGATAAATAATAAATTATGTAATATTTAACTGAAACTAATTAAATACCCAACTTTGTGGGTCTCTGCATGTGAAAAGTTCTGTGTGGCGGAGCTCAAGCCATTATAAGGCGTCCCTTACCCTAACTATCTGATCCCAAACTTTTGTGGGTCAGTTCACAACAGTAACATACAGTTAAAATTTACACATTTATTTGGTACCAAATAATCAACTAGTTTAAAATTAAAATTAACATAAAAAAAACAGTAAGAATTTTAGAATGAAATAATTAAACTAAAGATAGGAATAACATCAAGTAGAAAAGAATTTTAAGAAAAGAAATTGGCAAAGTAACGGTACTAACAAAATCTTTAAAAGAAATAGTGAAAAGAAAAACAATGAGAGAAAGTTTTTATCTCTCAATATTACCTTCCTATCTCTCCTCCTCTCCCTTTCCTTCTCCTTCTCGTTGTTCTTTTCCTTCGGATTGTTTTTTTTTTTTTTTTACGTTTGCGTCCCTTCTTCTTTTTTCCTTCTGATTCATATGTACACATGTATATAGGCCATTGTTTTTGACTATTTTGATTATTTTAATGATTACCTCTAATTGATTTCTAACTAAACTAACTAAAGTTTTGTTTAAATCTAACTAATCTTTAAGAATGTAATAATTGTATCTATCAAAAGTCTTAACATTCTGATCCCTTTTATTACACGTTGCTATATATCTAGAAGGATCCACATTTTTGATAAGCTTCAATTTTTTTATTGTTATTTTTTTACTTATATATACATATAGTTATATATATGTATATTACGTAACCTATTAACAGAGCTGCTATATATATATATATATATATATATATATATATATATATATATATATATATTATTTTATTTATTATTACTATTATATCATTTTAATTATTTAATACTTTAATATATGTATATATATATTTATATATGTATGTATATTTATGTTATGTTATCATTATTATTATTTTATTTTATACATATAAGTATATATTTATTACTTTATCATTTTTTTAATACAATTATTATTTCAGAACATTACAGGAAGTGTCCTCAATTCTTTGGATAAATGATCCAGTTTGGGATTTGGTGGATGACCCAGATTGAAATTGGGTAGATGACGTGACTCTTTGGGATGGAGATCAAGTGATACCAAAAGGGTACAGAAAAGCACCAAAGGAAAAGAAAAGTCCTATAGTTTATTGTAGCATAGTCTTCAAAAAATATTATGGAAGAAGGAAAAGAAATTATTCATTTAATCCTTAATTCTTAAAAGTTATGTAACAATTAACAATTATTGCCGTGTTTGAGTTATCATCTTAAATTTATTTTATGCTTTTAATTTTTGTAACTTATTAATTGTTCATGCATTAATATAATATACATGTAAGTAGTTTGTCTGCTTTCCTTTTCTACTCTTATTTCTTTTTCTTTTTCGTTATCGCCTCTTTGCACCACTTATGGTATCAGAGCCTGCAAAAAATATTATAGTTTGCATAAAACGTTATACATATTTTCTTTGATATTATTTCTCCAATATTGCAATGCCTTTAAATATTCAAAGATAATATTGCAAACAATTTTAAAATCCATACTATCCTTTTGTACCATTTCTCAATATCATCGAAACCAAGTCATTTATTGTAAAAACAATTTAAATCGATATTGTACGTCATTCAAATACTCAAACTCTGAAAATGTAAATAAATCACAAAATTCATAATATTGCCTCAAATAATTTCTTAAATATCATCAAAATCAATATAAGTGTTAAAGATAATTAAACAAAGCAAACCTTTCAATTCCATTTTATGTTGCATCGTGCCTTAAAAATAATTAAACATATAAAATCGTCACTTTTCAATTATAAACTCTCTGTACAACAAAACACTATTTTAAATTACAAAATAATTATAATAGTAATAATAAATTAAATTACAAAATAATTATAATAGTAATAATAAATTAAATTACAAAATAATTATAATAGTAATAATAAATTAAATTAAAACTTATCAAAACAGAAAATAAAATTTTAACTTGGTATAATCCTTACTTTTTACTCACTTATATCTTGAGTTGAAATAAGATTCAATATTGAATTGGTGCAAAATTAGAATGAGATTTGTGTGACCCTTTTTCTCTCATCTCCCACCTCATGCTTTTATCGTTTTTTTTTTTTGGTAAATATCGTTTTATGTATCTTGCTCCCCTAACTTTTATCACAATTATTGCTGATTCCTAACGTATTCATAGAATCATTGGTAATGTGCTTCACAAAACGCATAGCTCCCGTGGGCTCTTTTTCATAAGAAATAATATATATTTTATTTGTGAGGCAGAAAATATCATCCTATGTACAAGACTGTTCATAAAGACCGCAAAAACAAAAAGGAAAAGTTGATCTTGTATATTAAACCTAAAAGGAAGAGAAAATGAGAAAGTACATGTCTAGCAAACAAACCATCGTATTGATTCCTCTCCTTGAAGATATGATAAAAAGTTATTGCCCATCCTTTTGAATAAGCTCGAAAATTATGGAGAAAAAAATGAACCCATCCATTTCATGTGTCTACACCCTGGAAGATATAATAATTTTATTTCCAATTTATATGAGAAACATTTTATATATTTTATATATATATATATATATATATATATATATATATATATATATATATGGGAAAAAGATTTCTCATGTTGCATGAGAAATCTCCTTTCCTACCACTCTCACTTCGATGTCCGTGTCAATCACTTTTCTATTTTTTATTTTTTTCTTTAAGGTGGGTCCCACCCCTTTTTCTCTCTGTAGAAAAATTTGCATTTCTCATGCAACATGAGAAATTGCAAGCCCTATATATATATATATATAAATGAAAAAATACTTCTCCTTGGAGAATTGTCTCCTCGTGCATGTGAGAGATCGTTTTCCATGTCTTGCATTTTTGTATTTTTTTAGAAATGTGGACCCCACCTAATTCTCTCTCTGCAGAAACTTGAGAACTTCTTTTACTACTATGAAATTATAAACCTATATATATATATATATATATATATATATATATATATGTTAGATTTTGAATTGGTAATTGCATCCAATCTTAAAAAATAACATTATTTTGAGATTTTTCTTTTTGAAATAGAATTTTATAAAATCCTTATAGATTTCTCTATCTTATTTTTAAATAAGTCTCACAAGGGCTTAATTAATCCATTATTTATGTCTCCTATTCTCCCCCCTCCCAAATTTGTTTAACGAAAAAAAGAAATTGAAATTTCATTGCGTATAAAATTTAAAAAGAAGAGAAAACCAACACCTCATGATCAAATCAAGGATCAGTCCCAATAGGACTAATCGCGAATGAATGAATCGATTGAAATATGTCAAAAAAAAAAAATGCCTGCCAAACAAACAAATCAGCATACCCCATTCTACATTTGTTAATAACTTCAAAAGTCCATGATAAATTAATAACTCGAGCACGTATAAATGAAATTTCCATTTTATTACCAAAAACAGAAAAAAAATCACATTAATGTTTTATTTATATAGTTTTGCTAACGAAAACTTTAAATGAATAAAAAATAAAAATTATCAAATAAAAAGTACGATCTATAATGAATTTATAAAATTTTAATATATTAAATTTATTAGACTTTTCATTTTAAATCTATTAACAAGTACTTATTTACAAAATCTTTATATATATAGTTTGCCAATTAGACAAATTAAAATGTCCATATAACTAAACTATGCCAATGTACTTACGGCCCATCTATTATTCAAACGAGAACGTCAAGATCGAGTGTAAATATTAAAATGGTGAATCGTCCGTTTACATTTTTTTTTCACAATTTACGATAAATATGAACCGTTAAAATATAATATCACGTTGAGTATAATTTGTAAAAATTTATAAATATAATATTTTTTTATTAAAATACTATAAAAAAAACTAAAATAAAATTGGTGCGTCTTATGTTATATTCATCTTCCTCAAGTTGCTTGTTACCCTGTGTGCTTCTTCGTAGTTGTGTTAGATTGCAGCAAACCCTCTTAAACCCTAGCACATGTGAGTTTTGATTTGAAACCAAAATGAAGAGTTTCTGTTAGCTCAGCGAGACGAATAGCTTTTCACCTTTGGTTCTTCACTTCATCTCCTTATCAGCCCAAGCTGTAAGTGTACTTATCCCTATTTGTTCAGCAATTGTGTCGTCGTTTCGTGAATTATTTACTTCCTCGCAAAAATGCTTCGATTAGAGACAATGAAACTTGATAAATTTCGATGCTATTCTTTTCGATTTGCAACGACTTAGGTTAAGGTTGTCACGCAATTGGAAAATCCAGAAATTGAAGGAAGTTTTAAATTTTTTTATTTTTCCTTCGAATGAATGGTACCCGACTACCGGTAAATGTTTTTCAATTAGTCTTTGATAGATAGCAGATACAAAATGAATTAGCCTGAATTCCTGAAAGTATAGAAAGGACCCTATGAAATAGGGTTCCTTAACAAGAAAGAACAAGGATTCTGAAGGGGTCGTTTGTAACTGGTACTGCTTACTCCTGAAGGAAAAGATAAGGAAGTAAGCAGTAGCTCCATCGCCGTCTTCCCTAAAGGGAATTAGGGCTTAATTCAATATAGATTGGTAAAGGTCTTACTCTATTCCTTCCGGAATAGCGGCACCAGGCTACGGAGCTATTGTGCCCCACACGCGGGGTTTCTCCCCGATCCAAGAGGCAATTGAGCATGTAGCTCGAGAAAACCGTGATGAAAGGGTTTTCCTTGCGTGGCTGTTACGCTCTTTCCCACTTGGGGAGCAACATACAAAGCAAGCCTTGTGTTCCACCTACAACAATGAGCTGGAAAGCTGCCTTCTGGTGGAAATTGTGTATGTGGTTGTAGAACACATTACCAAGGCATCGCACACGTGGAGACTTAAAAAGAGTCTTGAACAGAGTTGGAGTGGGACCCATAATGAAGGTTGGAAACAGTGGCCTCCAGGCTTTATCTTCGGTTACTGCCTGACGTAGCTCCCTTTTTTTTGGTTATAGTAATAGTTATAATGCAGAAAATATAATTTTTTTTCAATATATGTATGCATATATTTTTTTACCCCCCAGGGGTTTACTTACATCAATGTGTAATGGATGCAAAGGTATAACCGTCTGCCAGCTTTTCCATTTTGTCTGCAAGCTTTTTTGTCATGTGACACAAATACTCTAAAAATGTAGCAATGTAGTAAGACATTAAGATGTAGTTGGTTTTTGTGCTGACCGATGCATCTGTTTGCACTTTGCAGGGGTCATTTGTGTTAAATGGCCAATAATTCTCAGCCCTCTGGTATGCAGGTAACATATTTCTTTCCCAATACTAACTAACCGAAAATCTCGTTATAATGCAATGCTTTACGTTAGTAACTTGTTTGCTTTGATTGTGTAGTTTTGATTTCGAGAACATTAAATGTTGTATGAAGAATAGCTAGTATCTTAGTATTTGGCTTTTATCTAATTCATTATACAATTTATATTTTGAATGACAATATTGGGATGTACAATCAATTACTGTGATCATTTTTTATATTTTGCATTATATGTTATTAATTTCTAATTATACAAAATGATTTGTATGTTAATTTTTTTTCCCCCTACCTTTCTCTTTCTCTCTCTGTTCCTTCATAACTAAAAGGTCATGGGTTCGAATCCAGGAAACAGCCTATTTGCAATTATGCAAGGGTAAGGCTGCATACAAGGATTTCCTCCACCCCATACTCGCTAGTCGAGTTTAACGGGGAGTGGTTTTTTTTTTATATTATTAACTACTATTTCTTGCTTGCTAATAAGAATATATTGCAATTTTGCAATAACTCTTAATCTCTTCATCTGCAGTTTCGGCCAGTCATTCAAGCTCAGCAAGGGCAACCATTTGTTCCAATGGCTTCACAACAATTTGGACATGCAGGACATGGTATTACGTCTTCCAATGTTGGGATGCCTGTTGTTCAGGGTCAGCAATTGCAGTATTCTCAACCTATGCAACAGTTGACTCCTCGACCAATTCAGCCTGGTCACCCTGCACCTCCATCGCAGGCTATGCCTATGCCATATATTCAGACAAACAGGCCACTGACATCTGTCCCACCACATTCACAACAAACTGTCCCCCACTTTAGCAATCATATGACTGGCTTGCCTGTTTCAGGAACAACTCCTCACTCTTCATATACTGTATGGGTTACCTTAGTTTTTGGAGTTTTCCTGTTGTGATAGATTACTAGATTTCTCTTGAATATTTAGTACCTTTTACAATCTCACATCATTTTACACTTTTTCAGTTCACATCATCTTATGCTCCACAGCAAGATAATGCTAATGCATTGGCTCAATACCAGCATCCGCCTCAAATGCTTGCACCTCCTGGTGGACAACCTTGGTTGTCCTCCGTACCTCAGAGTGCTGCACCTGTTTCATCAGTGCAGCAGGCTGGAGTACAATCATCTGGCACTGCATCAACTGATTCAGTAAGTGTTTCATCCATACTTTGATTCTTAATGTGTATTATTCTTGTTTTACATTCATTCTCTAGAAATTTCCATTTGAAATGCTCTTATTTATACAAATTGTAAATATATGTTAAAGCTTGTTTGGAATTCCTATAAAATGAAGTGTTTTAAATGGTGGGTTTTTTTTTAATATTTTTGAATTTTAATTGTTACTTGTATGATAATGGCATTAATTCATTCCAATAAGATGGAGAAGATGGTGATTCTCTTGTTTCATAATGTTATATGATTTTTTCCCCTTATAAATACAAATATATAATAAATTAATAAGATAGGGAGGACAGGATTTGAGAATTGGGTAGAAAGTAGATTTAAATAGAAAAAAAAGTTTTGTTATTTGCAGTTTAAATATAAATAATATAATAAATTTACGAATATAAAATAAAGAAATAATATTGGTGTTGGTTTTTTAAGTAAAACTCTGATTCTGGTCGTTGTGTTTGGAATTATTTAAAGAGAGGTATGGATAAAACAACAGTCATTTTATCCTTGTAAATTTGAATTGAAAAAACAATATATATATATATATATATATATATATATATATATATATATATGGACAAGATCAATTTACACCAGTGTAAGAATGATAAATCTTACACTCAATCCTATCCCTTGATTTCCGTCAATCAAACGACTGTAATTGATTGGGTTATTCTCATTAATTAATTATTAATTCTCAATAAATTACAACCGTCAGATATGCGAAAATCAACGGTTAAAATTGAGTGTAAGATTATTATTTTTACACTGGTGTAAGAAGATCCTGCTCCATATATATATATATATATATGTATATGTATATCTATATGTATGTATGTATGTATATATATATATATATATATATATATATATATATATATATATATATATGCATCTTACAACACTTAAACAAGTATTACTTTTACTTCTAAAAATATTGCCTTAGGAGTCCAAAATAAAATATCCTGGTAAATTGCCATACGTTATTTATGATGACCTAGCCACCTGGAAATTCTGCACCACCATACCGTCACTCTCCTTTGCTGTTGCCCTGTTCCAGCAGTAGAAGTAAAACCTAGTTCTGATTCCGACAACGCACGAATAAATGACATTGTTCTTGTTAGGATAGGTTTTTTTTTTTTTTCAAAGGCAGAAATTAGGGTTTCTGTGATCTAGTCATCTTTGACCTGACTACACGATCAGCACAACGCTTGTAGAAACTGGCAGTGGCATGCGGGATGAATCGTTGCTAGCGACTGAATCGTAGTTTCCGGTTCAATGTACATTATCCTTCCGATTTAGGTGACAATTCCAGCCGCCCTCTGATTTCCTCTATGGTTTTAATCGCTGGCAGTTTGACCTGTATCGTTTCGCACAATTCAATTTGTGAATTGCACGGTATCTAGATCCGTGTTATGGAGGTTTACTAAACCTACCAATTTGATCCACATCTAATGCCTTTGGAACCTAGATGGTCCAAATTAAGTATTATTAATTAGATGCTATTCGTATTTAATTTTCTTTATTACTTTTTTTGGCCTAAGGGGTATAAGGAAATATTTTTAAATTGTTATGCATATATTTTGTTTGTATGCTATTATGAAAGAATTGGTGACTTTCTTGTCATGATACCATTTGAGTCAGATTTCTTGTGGGAGTAACCAATTGAATCTCAATAGCTGATAATGTTTTTGACAATGCCTTACATTATACGTGATTCAATGAATTACATTTCTTCTATGGTAATAATGTAATCTTCTGTTGTTATACTGCGATTTCTGAGAAATTTGAGTTGATATAATTCTCGGACTTTTGTTCTGACAAATTTTAGGCATCTAATGCTACTAACCAGCACTCCTTATCTGATTGGCAAGAGCATACTTCTGCTGATGGGAGAAGGTATTGGTTTATATAATTATATCTTGCTTAGCCAGCAAACATGAGATATCTTATAGAAATTGTTACTGTTATTTATGATAATGATCTGATTATCTAGTGTTTTCGTAATCTACATTATCTAATGAGAATATTTGTTCTTTTCTCAATTTTATCAGATATTACTACAACAAGAGGACAAGGCAATCTAGTTGGGAGAAACCTTTGGAATTGATGTCACCTACCGAGGTGAGTTGTTTTGATTATTTGTTGCTGTTGCTGCAATTTGAGTGTCATTTTTATTATCTGTTGGACTCGCTTTGAAAATGTTGTGGTCAATAGAACCGGTATCTAATATGGATGTTGACCATTTCTACAATGTTTTCAATGATCATAAAAGGTTTATGGTGTGAATATCCTTTTATGTGCATGTGCTTCCACTGATTTGTAGATATCATGGCAAGTCAGGAGAAATTTTAACGACTGCTCTATATGGTCACTGTGAAGGCGGGGGTAGCACTTTCTCAAGGCAGGCAACAGTTTGATATTTACAATTTTTTTTTTTAAACCTAAAATGTGAGATTGGTGTATAGCTATGGTTCTGCAATACCATTAATTAATGGTTGACTGCACCCTTCCCATCCCCTTCCTCCAGCAGTTTTGTAGGGTGATCTTTATGGGCTGTGTGTGTGTGTGATATCAATTGTCTCCTTTGTAAGTTTCTTTGCTCTACCTATGCACACACACAAAAGATAAAAGGCGTGCATTTGTGCATCCATATATGCTTATCTTCTTGCTTTCTTTTACTTTCTCCATCTTTTTGTTTCTTTATTCCTTTGCTGTTTTATGATCTTGATTTAGTGGTTTATACATTGCAGTGGGGTATGCTTATAAATGTGTATGGGATGTGTAAATTCTGGTTTATTGTGTTATTCCTTCTAACTCTTATTAATTTTGGCAAGGTTATAATATAACAATTATTAACTCTTCAGCAGGATGTTATCTTCTTTCCTTTATTTGTTTAATACATACCTTTAGTTTCTTGCACCAGTATGTGATTAACTATTATTACCTTGATATGATAATCATTCTTGGATGGTTTGCTTTTAGTATTTTCAAATTCCACTAATTCTGCTGGATGTGACAGAGGGCTGACGCATCAACTGTTTGGAAAGAATTCACTTCTTCAGAGGGGAGAAAGTGCGTTTTATTTCATGTGTTGTATAATTTTATTTATAAAATATATATTCTTCAGCTTTTTGTTGTACTTGTACCCTTTCTGTTTCATTTGTTTGTAATGATGGACCTGATTTCTATGTTATGGCTGTGACTCCTTGCAGGTATTATTACAACAAGGTTACTCAGCAATCAACCTGGTCAATACCTGAGGAACTTAAGGTTTTTGATTAGAGATTATGTTTGTGGTTGTTTTCCATTTTTTTGCCTGATAGAATTCAATTTCTTACCCGAAATTGCAATATTTCCATTCAGTTGGCTCGTGAGCAGGCACAGAAAGCTATGAACCAGGGAATGCAGTCAGAAACAAGTGATACATCCAATGCTGCTGTGTCCTCTGCTACACCATCTACAACAGCTAATGCAGCTAGCTCCATCACTTCTTTGACATCAAATGGGCTTGCTTCAAGCCCATATTCTGTCACACCAATTGCAGCAACTGATCCTCAACAGTTGGTTTCTGGATTATCAGGGACCTCTGTTTCCCATTCAATAGTTACTTCAAGCACCACAGGAGTTGAACCAAGCACTGTGGTAACTATGAGCACTGCACCTACAATTGTTGCAGGAAGCTCAGGAGTAGCTGCAAATTCACTTGATTCCAAAATTCCATCCATGTATAAATTCACTAGTATTCTGCATGCTCATTGTTTTCGTCTGACCTTTTTCTCCTTTATAATCTGGTTGTAGTTTTCAATTCTGACATCACCTATGTATTGAAAATTTACCTGAGCAGTGTTGAAAATCAAGCATCTCAGGATTTTGCTTCTTCTGTCAATGGAGATTCTCTTCAAGATACTGAGGTATTTTTCTTTCTTTTTATAGTTTAAAATTGTTGGATTTCTAATCACTCAAAAAGTCTGGCCTATTTGGAGACACCTGCTGTGATTATTAAGCCGAACATAAACATTCATGAACTTACACAAGCCTGCAAAACCAAAGAAATTGATGATTATGGAAAAAAAACCCATGAAACAGAATACTAGAATAAAGTTTGTAAGGTATTATAGTATATTGATCCATGATTGACCACTTTTGCAACTGTGATTTGATGGTACCGAGCTATGTAACAGTAAAAGACAGCAACAGCAAAGGAAGAAATACTATTTATAAATTCAATAATTTGCCAAAGAAAAACACTTTGACAATACCAGAAACAATACAAGAAAAGAGCAACAACAGCTTCTCATAACCCATTACACAGACTCAACAACAGGACAATGATAGTGCTGAATAGAAATGCAGAAATACACGATGACAGTAATAAAAAAGACACAACAGTGACACAAAGACTGTTAAAGACAAATTACAAACTCCATGACTCCTTCTGCTCCTTGATTATCCGTCTTCCAACAGCAAAAACCCAGGATCCCAGCTGCTGAGCACCACACTCAGCTGCTACCCCACTCCCAAAATATGAATATTCTCCCCCCCTCACACCATTCCCCTCACCATCCGTGTCTTCTCCCACTAATTTCCCAACATACCCCTCTCCGTTCACTGCTTGCCATGTGTCATTCCCTCTAACTAACTGCTCTTTTATATATTTCATCCTTTTCTGCCCTTCTAAACTTTCAGTATTTTTCCCTTCAGTATTTTTAGCTCTTCTTTTGTATACTATTTTATAAGGTTCCAGCTCCTTAGGCCCATCATGGTTCAATAACATGTCAGATATTCAACCACCTGAAAAGCTTGAACTGTTAAGAAAATGGATCCAACCACATATAGTAGGCTAAAATGCAAATAGAAATTCTAGTTTTCACTGGAAGTGTCTAAGTGGCGCCAATATTTATTGTTTGTAGGCAAGATTGTGCCAACTGCTGTTATAAACTTAGAAAAACTAGGTCACAATTGAGAATGCTATCAAAGTGAGAGAGAACTCCTGGAAGACAATCTCCTCAATTTGATGTCCAATTAAGATCCTGTATTTAATTTACTTATTATTAAAATTTTCTTCCAACTCTTGCAGGAAGCCAAAAGAGGTTTGCCAGTGGTTGGAAAGAATAATGTGTCTTCACCTGAGGAGAAAACCAATGATGATGAAACCATGGTATATGCAAATAAGCTGGTAAGAATTTTGTATGTTATGCATAATCTTCTTTAAAAAACATAGAAGGCATCATATCCTTCTTTTCTCTTATTAAATCTTTTATCTTTATCATCACATTACATTGCTCTTTTAGGAAGCAAAAAACGCATTTAAAGCGCTTTTGGAATCTGTGAATGTTCAGTCTGATTGGTCATGGGAACAGGTAGATTGGGCACATTTCATTTTTTCCCAGTCTTTCTTTTGTGCTTCAAATGCTAACTATTATTTTTGAGTTGTGATTCAGGCAATGAGAGAAATCATCAATGATAAAAGATATAATGCCCTAAAAACACTTGGTGAGCGAAAGCAAGCTTTTAATGAGGTTAGAAACAAGCCTCCTACAGCACATTGCATGTACCACCTTGCACTGGATCCTTCAGTTTGCGTCAAGTGAACTGATTTAGTGGCACAATGTAGTTGATCATTTTCTATTTACCTGTTAATGACTCTATCTGGCTTTCTGACATTGAATCAATTTATCTTCCATTCAGTATTTGGGCCAAAGGAAGAAGCTAGAGGCTGAAGAGAGGCGCATGAAGCAGAAAAGAGCCCGGGAAGAATTCACAAAGATGTTGGAAGTATGTTGAATAGAATACCTGATTAATTTGTGCTTCTATTAGTTAATTCTTATTGCATATTCTCTTTTCAGGAGTGCAAGGAACTTACATCATCCACAAGATGGAGGTATATTTCTACTTGTTTGACTAAGAATTTATTTGTTGTTGGTTTCTTTAGGATGAAATAATTCATCTTAAAATCCCTAATTAATCATTTACGGTGATCAGCAAAGCTATAAGTATGTTCGAAAATGATGAACGATTCAATGCCGTTGAAAGACCAAGAGATCGGGAAGATTTATTTGAAAGCTACATGGTGGAACTTGAGAGAAAGGTGATAATATGTTACTTTTTGCTTGCATATGAACCTTTTTGAGCATGACATATCATTTTAGTCTAGATCTTGTACCCAAGGAGGCTACATAAACCTTTTTCTAGAGTGATTTGTGGATCTCTTAAATACTGTTCAATTTTGGAAAGAATCTTGTTTTTCTTTGGTGGGTGCTGGCAGGTGAGTGCTTGTTATGGTCACATTGTAGCATTTACATTTTGGTTTGTGGCATTCTTTCATATAATCAAGGGAAGGAGATGAATTGTATCATTGGCTGAAGTGAAATATTCATGAAATGCTTAATCAAAATGTGTTTCAGGTTGACTTTCTTCATCTTATTTAAAAAACCACTCTTTTCTGGATGTAAATGCGTTTCAAGGGAGTTGTGATTTTTATAATTTGTTCACATATTTATCAGTGTAGGTAGGCTGCTACTAGACCGCCTTTTCTTAGGAACCATGTCTTTGTGTGCAATTTTATGGTTATTTGTCTAACTGTTACCTTGCAGGAGAACACTGAAAATTAATTAAAGAGATTGTTATTATAATTGTAATTGTGGTCGAACCACTTAACATAATTTCATATGAGAAGAAGAAACTAAAAATAAAATGAAGGAAACCTGGATGGCTGAAACTAATAATCAGAACTGAAATATCACTGTATTATTTTCTGAAATTCACCCTCCACTACTGAAACTAACAGATTCCAGAAACACAGGGAATGTAGGACATAAATAGAGCTGTACGCTATTTGAGGTGCCTACCCTGTACCACCCAAAACTAACGCAATTTCTCTATACCTCAGTCTCTAGCCCCATTTCCCTCCTTTTTGATGCCTTCTACCTAACCTTTCCCTCTATTGCTTTCCCTCACTCTTGCCACGTGTAGTCCTCAATGCCCAGAGCTTCTATTCCCTTCAATGGAGTTTTGATGATTATTATAAATGGAAAATTTCGAAATTGGCGACATCTTTGATAAGACCACTCTCAAGAGTTAAATAGGTCAGGTGGGATCACTGCAAGCTAGAAAGATGGGAATTATAGCTCGATAGGCTTGTTTGCTCTCTTGAATGGAGATTATAATTCTGAGCTAGCAAGAGGCATGATACAAAAAACTGTGTTGCGATATTGACAATTTAAATATGTATCAGAAACTTTATGGAAACATGAAGTTCTTTGAAAACATTGCAAAGAAATAATGTACTTGTTATTTAAGCTAAATTTTAATGTTGGATTGTTTCTACTCCATCAAGCAAATCACAAGGGCCAAACTTAGTTTACTCATCTAGATTTCAATTCATAAACTATATAAGCCTCATTCGTAATGCTAGACTAACTGAGACCCCAATCATAAGCCACATTCATTAACCGAAGTCCAAGCCCATTGCAAAATAAAATAAGCACTAAAAGAAAATGGCCTGGTGCTCTGATATTACGCTGAACATAACTTCCTTCAATGTTTGAACTTTGGAGTCCAAATTGCATGCAGAGGATGAGATAAGCTTCATTGTCATCATACTTTCAAGCGTTGGACGTCAGAAGGTTGGGACTAGAATCCCATCAAGATCCAAATTCATCTTCCCCTCAAATTTACGTAGTCAGAGTGTGAATTGAGTACAGGGAAAAGAATCATACTACCTCTTTCTAGCTTCAACTTACTATTTGGAACTATGTACAAATTTTAGGGGAAGGTTGATGAATCCTGCCACTGATGATTATGATATCAAAGTGCTAGCTAGTTAGGTTTTATTTCTGGGATGGATGCACATCTATCCCCCAAAAAATTTCGGGTGGATGCTCATAATGTTTATGAGTGATTGTTTAATCTGGGTTACCGTGCTCTATTTATTCCAAAAAAAGTGAATAGCAGGCAATAGGCACCAAATATTGGAGAAGAGAATTCCTCCTTAGATTAAGATATAATAATAAGAGTTGGTGGCTTCAGTTCATATCCCGTGGTTTTAATTCAAGTTGCTCTCTGAAATTGAATACCTAAAAGTTGCAATCACACATATCAAATTTAGTTTCTTGTCCATTCTTATTGTTATCCTATCTCTGTAAAATATAGGAAAAGGAAAATGCCGCAGAGGAGCATCGGCGTAACATAGCAGAATATAGGAAATTTCTGGAGTCATGTGATTATGTGAAGGTACATTTCTTTAAAATGAAGAGCAGCACTTCTGTTGTATTGGATGTTTTTATTCTTCAACTTTTCCCTTATTTTATTTTCATTTCATTTTAGGTGAATAGTCATTGGCGGAAAGTCCAAGATCGGTTAGAGGATGATGATAGATACCTACGACTTGAAAAAATTGATCGCTTGCTTGTTTTCCAGGTATATTTTCTTTTGGTTGGTCATGTATGAGTATGATGGATATATGTGCTGAGATTGGCTTTGGCAGGACTATATTCGTGACTTGGAGAAGGAAGAAGAGGAACTAAAAAGAATACAAAAGGTAGAATCTAAGTGTATGATTATTGTTGTGTTTGAGTCCATATTCTTGTTTGCGTATGCAATTTTATGACAATGATATAGGAACGACAACGTCGGGGTGAAAGGAAAAACCGTGATGCGTTTCGCAAGTTGCTGGAAGAACATGTGGCTGATGGAATTCTTACTGCTAAAACTCAATGGCGAGAATATTGCTTGAAGGTAATAAAACTTTCCATTGGTCATGATGAAAAGCTGGAATAATATGGAAAAAAAATATATCATTTTCTTGTGTTTTCTATTTTGTAGGTCAGGGATTTGCCTCAATATCAAGCTGTTGCGTCAAACACATCTGGTTCCACTCCGAAAGATTTATTTGAGGATGTCACTGAAGAGCTTGAAAAACAGGTTATTGAATTTCCATTTCAAGTAATTTCTTTCAAATATTGAGTTGTTATTGATGTTTTTTGCTGTTGGTAGAATGATATTATTATGGTCTATGTTAGTATGCTGTCTGCTTTTCTGTTATTTAAAGCAACCTTTCATCAGCCAACATGTCTTCTCTTTGGAGTGAGATCCTGTTTTGACTAAGTCCTATATAATTACTTCTGAGGATGTGTGATAGGAACCAACAGTACAATTGAAGAAACAACTCAAAGAGACAGTATATTAATATGACCCAGGTACAATGTCCAGTAAGAAGATGACAATAACAGAGACAATACAACTCTATGAGCAATTACAAGAATAGTAATGTAAAGATACAATAACAGTAATGAAAAAAGAGACAGTAAAGATAGGTTCTAGAGCAATTCGAGAGGCTCTAGACTCTCCCAATTCACCCAAGAGGTGCCCAAAAGTCCCAAGTCCTAAGATGATTCCCTCAAGCACTCATTCCCCCTCTTAGGCACTTTCCCCACAACTAACTTGCTCTGCTATGCTTCCATTCTGTTTTGTTGAGTCAGCACAGCCAACAACATTTTCACTTGGGCCAATTACTACATTTGGGGCCCAAACCATGGTGGGTTCGTATCAATACTCCCCCAAAACAATCACCTTGTCCTCAAGGAGAGTGCAAGGATTGTAAAATTACCTTAGAGATCCCATTTCTTGAATTGTAAGACCCCAAATTCGCGACCAACTAGATATTTCATGCTTGTAGTTGTATAGCTCCCATTAGGGTCCTATTGCTCATCTTCCATTTCCATCACTGACACACTTAATTTTTGTGTGGGAACTAGAACAGCACGATAAAACAAATCAGACAAATTAACATTACCATGGCTAAGGAATGATCCATTGCTTCCCACTCCCCCAACGGTGCCCTTTGGTTTAGCTTCAGCCCTTGGGTTTGAAGTGAGCCTTAAAAAATTGTTCATCGACAATTTCAGAGCCTTCTCTAATTCTGTTTCATCAAGCTTCGCCAGTGCTACCAACACATTGTTGTCCTTCCTCCCTTTGTCTTCATCATCGTCATCAACCAACAACTGACGGAGCTGGGTACTCGACATTTGTGGCCTGGGTTCCAGCGCTCATCGCACTTGAAACAGAGGCCCCTCTGTTGACGTTCATGCAACTCTGCCTATGGCAACCGTCTCCTGTGACTCACGTTGCTCTTCGGTGCGCAATTGCTGGCGACGGACGTCGACTCCTTCGACGTTTGACCTCACTTCGAATTCTCCGCAAGCATATTTAGGGGATTAGGGTAACTCATGTTTGAGTGAGGAGTTGGGTTGGTCTGGCTCAGGTTAGGCAAATTAGTTGGGCTCAAGTTTGAGTAACCTCCCTTCTTAGCCTCAGTTGGGCCTGTTCCCACCCGCTGGCCCATATTCATGCAGTTGGAGCCTTAAGTCCAAGACTTGCACAACGGCCTTAATCCTTCTTCAACCAAAGCGACGTTTCTCCATTCGATTTTCAGAGAATACTTCACCATGGCAGTTAGACTTAGTGTCGGCGCCATCAACAGCTCCTCGCTGTTAGAGTATAATATAAATCATTAAAAAGACCTTCACCTAACAGTTTAAGCTTTTGGGTGAGATGGTTGCTTTACATGGTATCAGAGCCTCAGTGTCTCGGGTTCAATCCTCGCCGCCCCCCATTTTCTTTGTAGAATTTCTTAGCACATGTAGGCTGGGCTTGATGCATTATCCACCTTTCAAGCCCAATGGGCTCTCTTGTGAGGAGGCGTGTTAGAGTATAATATAAATCATTAAAAAGACCTTCACCTAACAGCTTAAGCTTTTGGGTGAGATGGTTGCTTTACTCTCACGATCGCGGCTTTTATCTCCATTTAGCCAATATTCCTTGAGTAAATCTTCATTCTCAACTCTCAACACCCTTATCACCTTCTCAAATTCCATCCCGAATTTTGCCACGGTCCCTGTTTGCTTCAAAGTGTACAGGGCACGATAAACATCAACATCCTCACTTGGAAATGTGGGAATCTCGAGTCGCCGATGGTTATGATTCAAAGAATTTCTCCTCCTTTCGAACCTGTCGCCATTCCCTTCATCAGTACTTGAATCGTTGTTGGCAGGGCTATCTTCTCCGGGAATGACTCCGTCGTCTTCCTGCCATCTCATCCAACCTCTTGAGGATTTCAGTCACTTGCACTTTAGTCAGTTCTAGCCTTCGAGTCATCTCGTCCTGACGAGCATCAATCTTGTGCAGCTCTTCCTCTAAAGCATTCAATCGATTCTCCATATTTCTGGTAGTAACCATCCCACAAAGCTCCAAGATCGGAGCTCTGATACCAATTGATAGGAACCAACAGTACAATTGAAGAAACAACAACTCAGAGACAGTATATTAATATGACCCAGGTACAATGTCCAGTAAGAAGATGACAATAACAGAGACAATACAACTTTATCCGTCGTCTTCTTGCCATCTCATCCAACCTCTTGAGGATTTCAGTCACTTGCACTTTAGTCACTTCTAGCCTTCGAATCATCTCGTCCTAACGAGCATCAGTCTTGCGCAGCTCTTCCTCCAAAGCATTCAATCGATTCTCCATATTTCTAGTAGTAACCATCCCATAGAGCTCCAAGATCGAAGCTCTGATACCAATTGATAGGAACCAACAGTACAATTGAAGAAACAACTCAAAGAGACAATATATTAATATGACCTAGGTACAATGTCCAGTAAGAAGATGACAATACAACTCTATAACTCTATGAGCAATTACAGGAATAGTAATGGAAAGATACAATAATAGTAATGAAAAGAGAGACAGTAAAGATAGGTTCTAGAGCAATTCGAGAGGCTCTAGACTCTCCTAATTCACCCAAAAGGTGCCCAAAAGTCCCAAGTCCAAAGATGATTCCCTCGAGGACTCATTCCCCCTTTTAAGCACTTTCCCCACAACTAACTTGCTCTCCCATGCTTCCCTTCTGTTTTGCTGAGTCAGCACAACCAACAACATTGTTACTACATTTGGGGCCCAAACCGTGGTGGGTTCGTATCAACGTGCATGAGACATTCGAAAAGAAAGTAAATTCTATCCATTCGTATTCAGTGTTTGATGTTGGTTGACTTGACTTAGAATGGTTTAAAATAAGTTGAAGAAAATAAGATTGCTCTTATACTTTAAATTTAACGTCCGGATTCAATGTTTCTTTGGTGATCTGGAGTTAGCTAATCAACTGCTTGTCATGGATCAATTATCCCAAAAACTTAAGTTATTAGGTGAAGAATGCATCATCTTATGTAAGAGCTCTTTAGACTTAAAGCATGGACAATGCATTGATCCCCCTATTTTGTATTTAAATTTAATTTTCTATTAGAAGAATCAGGGTGGCCAGAATCAAACTCTAGACCACTTGGCCATAGAGGCTATGATGTCATATCATGATCCAATTATTTTAAAACTTAAAGTGATAAGTGAGAATGTATGAATGGTTTTATATTACATCTCTAACACTACCAAGTTGTTAGTATAATGATAACCTTTGCCTTATTCCTTTTGAGTGATCTGAACCTTAAGTATTATAGTGGTCGCTGATTTCTATTTTAATGTCTTTTTGTAAACAGTATCATGAAGACAAGACACTTGTAAAAGATACAATTAAGTCAGGCAAGGTAGGCATTGAAACGATCATCCTTGTGTTTTATCTGTAGCTTATGTTTGATTACAAACTGTGCTCACCCCGGCCTCCTGTCCGATTCAATTAGATCACTGTAGTGACGACATCAGTGTTTGAGGACTTTAAGTCTGATGTCATGGAAGAAGTTGCTTGCCAAACAATATCTGAGATCAATTTGAAGGTAGTGTATTTTGGTTGTAATCTGTCATTTTTATTTCATTTCATACTCCTAAAATATAAATCTATATAAGTTACTCTAACGACTGAAATGAGAGGCTTGATGTAACCGTGTTAAGTTACTCTCTTGGTGTCTTAAGTCTTAACAGTTAATTTATGATTAGGCAAGGCAATTATTTGTAGTATTTGTTTTGATATCTCTGATTAATGTTCACAGCCACAAGAAATTGAAAGCCACCATTTTTTAAGCTCAGATAATATTAAACAAGAAAAAAGAACAGTTTGTTGCTTTAGTTTCAACTTTTTTTGGTTCATTTTGTATATAATTCTGAGGCTTTTTGTACATGATATTGATATAAAGTCAAATCTATTATAGAATATAAAATCAATAGATATCATTATCGAGTTTATAACTTCAATTTGAAATTGTTTTTGGTTATTCTATCAATTGTATGTGTACTTAACATGGAATAGCATGTCCATGTTGGAACAAATATCTCTATTAAGAGGTTGTTGCTAGCCAGTTGACCTATTTAATATTGCTTATGCATTTGCAACATGGATTATCAGAATTTGATAATTTGTTTCTGTTATGAAGCTTATATTTGAAGAGTTGTTAGAGAGAGCTAAGGAGAAGGAGGAGAAGGAAGCTAAGAAGCGCCAACGCCTTGCTGATGACTTTACTAACCTGTTATATACGTTCAAGGTAAACTAAGACTCTACCAATGATCTGATTTTTCACATTATTTGGCTAAATAAATTGCTATTAAGCATCATATTTTATTTTTGTAGGATATTACTACTTCTTCAAAATGGGAGGATTGCAAGCCACTTTTTGAGGAGACACAAGAGTACAGGTATATTTATTATTTCTTGTTTTATGTACCTGGAGCTGTTGTAATATGTAAAGTGTCTGTGTCCATGATGGAAAAAATCTTGCTTGATATTTTCTGTGCTGCACTTCATTATAGGTCAATTGGGGATGAAAGCTATAGCAGAGAAATTTTTGATGAATATGTCACATACTTGAAGGAAAAAGCTAAAGAGAAGGAACGCAAGCGTGAAGAGGAAAAGGTGCCTAATTTTTTATTTGTCTGAGAGTATGGTTTCATAACATCTATGCATGTTTGACATGGTTGTTAAGACAATCTGGTTTCTTTTTCCCGAACTTTCAAATTTAGTGTTCTTTCCCCTTGCAATGTAATGATCTGGTTGAGTCATTGAAATGGCTGTGATTAAACAACAACTGGCTGGCTCAGTTTGGTTGGACCATTGCCGGGTATCAGGGTTAACAGGACTAAACCAGGCTAGTGTACACTTCAGACTTTTCAGCTGGCCGGTCCAGTTTGATTTTCAAAGCCTTAAGACCTATGTCAGAGTTCCAACACTTGTTTTATTCAATCATCTTTGTGACTGACATGCATACAAACATGTCAGAAATGTGTCCATGTCCAATTAATGTTTTGTTATTTTTCTCACTCTGACACTCCAGAAACATAGTTAGATACTGTTGACCTGAGTTTTGGTGTTTGGTCAAGGGAAGGGAAAGGGCGAGGTTCAACTGAGTGGTGGAGGTAGGGGGCGTGGGGTTGGTTATGGTTTACTTTAGCTCAAGGTTGGGAATGAGGTGGGTTGAGAGATGGGCAGGGCAGGACGAGGGATTAAATTTTGTTTATGTGTTTATGATTAATAAATATTGTATAAAACACAACCAACTCATAAATAATTAATGGTGATTATTTTTATTAACAAATGACTTTAAATAAAATTTAATAAATGTTAAATTAATATTTATAATTAATGTATTTATTATGTGATTTATAAAATGATGTTTAATTTAGAGATAAAAAATAATATTTGCATCTCATATATATGATAAATATCAGGATATATATGTCATTTTACATAATAGTATATTTTCTTTCCTTTTTAACCCGACTCTTTTCATCCAAACACACCAAGAGAAAATATACTTTTTTCTGTATGTTTCCTCATCCAAACAAAGGCCAAAGATTCGATAAGATTAACTATATTCTGATTTATTAGTTGTGAATTATATCCTTTATTTTATCATTATAACTAATGTTTGGCTGTTGGGCCAGACAATGAAGCCATTTATTTTATGCCATTGATCTTCATTCTGTACATCTATTGTCTACTTGGGTTGCCCTTGGTTTTTCTGTACCAATTTTCTACTTACCAGAAACTGAAATAAAATATTACAGTTTTAGAATTAATCATGGCTGCTTTGAATTTCTTTTGTTGAAATTATGTTCCTTTCACCTTATTCTATATCCATAACGAATTAACGTAGTGGGGAAATGCATCGTTATTTGTAGTTTGTGTATCATGCATGACCTTGAAATATTTGGTCCGGCATTTGGTTAACTATACCTAGGGTCAACACTTTATTTTATGAATAATTAATTGCAGGCCAAAAAGGAGAAAGAAAGAGAAGAGAAAGAAAAACGGAAGGAGAAAGAGAAAAAAGAGAAGGAGAGAGAACGTGAGAAAGAAAAGTCTAAGGAACGACATAAGAAGGATGAAACAGATAGTGATAATCAAGACATAACTGACAGCCATGGTTACAAAGAGGAGAAGAAAAAAGAAAAGGATAAGGAAAGGAAACATCGGAAGAGGCATCAGAGCAGTGTAGAGGATGTGGATTCTGAGAAGGATGAGAAGGAAGAGTCTAAAAAATCACGAAGACATGGCAGTGAACGCAAGAAGTCTAGGAAGGTATGGATATTTCTGCATCTTTATTTAGTAAAATATTGATTCTATATTTTACATTTTAGAATAGACATTTGAAATGTGTGGAACTATAATCTTGCAGCATGCAAACTCTCCTGAATCAGAGAATGAAAGCCGGCATAGAAGACACAAGAGGGAGCACTGGGACGGTTCCAGGAAAACTGGGGGGCTTGATGAACTTGAAGACGGGGAACTGGGTGATGATGGAGAGGTTTAGTAGTTTGTTCCTAACCTTTTTGCAGTGGTGAGATAAAGAACTTCACCTCCATCTTTTGGAGAATATTGACTTTCATTGTCAAATACACTTTTGTTACTTATCTTCTGGGACACATCTGTGAATTTAGGATCGTCGGATGTAAAAAGAAATCTTTTGGTTCTCTTTATAGCTTTATCAATTGTTGTGCCCAGCTTGTACCAAGGGTGCATATCTGGAAATTGGCATCATATATCATAAACTTTCGTTTATATGCTTAATATTTGCAGATTTATTTCTCTTCGTAACAATTAGAATGTATGAATGTATTGTATTCAATAGTGTATAGAACTGTACAAAAGATCTCTATTTAAAGAGGTTAAATGACCTAATGGGTCAAGCCCAAATAACCTGCTAGAATAACAGAATAATAAATGATTAAATGCTATTTAATATTATATTATTTCTAACAATAACAATATTATTAGCAAACATTATGTTTTGTATGAGCTTGAGGATCTGTAGTTACTTGACCAGAAGAATCAAAATCTATTTTATATTATCAGCAATTCATTCATCATAGTGCTCCAAATCGAGGAAGATGGTAAGCTTATAACGCGCTGTTAATTTCGAAGATTAAAACTTTTGATGTTTCAAATCGAGGGATTTACTAAAACATGAAGTAAAAGTTTTATATGGTTTGTCTCAAAGTTCTAATCATTTCTGAGTACAGTTCATTATTGATGCGCTCCAAAATTTTATCGGTGATGTTGACTTCATTCGATGATTGAATTCAACTACTCCAGTCCAGCTTGTTGACCCCATTTTATTTTCTATCACTAGTGAGCTTCCCAAGCTCTCTAGATCTCATGAATTGTTTGTAACTTTGCTTTGTAGTCTTTAGTTGGAGAGATTATTGTAATATTTCATGCTATTAAATAGCAGTTTCTTTATTTTGTACAATACTTTTTTCGATTTCAGTCTAGTGGAAAGAGTTGGCCCAAGAAGATGCTCTCCAAACTCCTTAGTGCCGTTCTCTTTCTTTATTGACCGGTCAAGTCCAGTCCAGATAGCAGCTGATAACAGTGATACCACTGATTTAGTTATTTATTTGGCTTTGAATTAGTTCAGCTATATTTATAAATTTTTTATTTACAAATTCTTATAAATTTATCTATGTATTTTTCAGAGTATATACGTAAATTTGTAAACAAATTTTTTGTAAATATAACATTCCTCGTAGTTCGATTCTGTGTGACTCATTCATCATCTTTTAAATAAAATTGAAAAGTACATTAAAAATCATCATAAGATAAACCATAGAAATAATAATGTGTATTATCCACACTTCAAAGTTCAAACGCTTTTGCCTGTAAGGATGTGTTTGAAATATAATATAATATTCACGAATTGATTCTTTACACTCTATTGCATTCTCCCAACATCTTCATTCACCGATTCATCAGCAGAAGAAACTCATGCAATCCTATAGTAGTTACTAATAAAACCATGTGGAACCTATGTTTATAGTATAATGGCCAAATAAAACTTAAAATGTGAAATTCTGCTTAAAGGTATCTTCCCAGCGAAACAAGCATACCTTCTACGCATCTCAGGTGCTGCCTTCCATTGTTAGAAAGAGCAGCAAAACTAATTAATAATTTTTTTAACATTAAGGATTTGAGGTTAATTAAATATATAATACTTTGAGTTCGTACCACGTCCCATATTGCATGCATTGGAAATTCGGAAAATGTGAGAAGAAAACGAATGCTGATCTTTATGTGATGATATGGAATTTCCCACTTCTTGTTGCTAATTTGGAAAATTTACATGTCTTTTATGCTGTTTTTCTCAAGTCATAGGAGGTGACTAAGTTGAATAGATTGGTAAGAAAAGCCAGGCTATTCGACGTAGAGGCTGGACTACAAATTGCTGGCTTCCGAGACACAACAATATATGGGCCTAATCCTAGTAGTTGAGTCTACTTCGTGTCAAGGTTGTTGTGAGATATTCTGACGTTCAAATCAAATCAAAAAAAAAGTAAGTAACATGTAGATGGTGTGTGTGAAGGGAATGAGAATAAATTATCTCTTATCATATCATGTCACATGGCATTGATTTATTTATGATCACCTCAAATGATTTGCTTATGTTAAATAGCACACGATTTATGAAGGGAATAGCCAGTGCCTGATGTGGTGGAATATACCAGAGTTACTTAATTCTCAAGTCAGTTAATTTAAGAGAGAATATGCAGATTATATACAGGATTTGGTTCCTCACAAATGGGAGTGGAATCTGGGTTAGAAAAATCCGAGATCCTACCACGATAGATCCCTTAGTTATTATTTTGTATCCTCTAACTATTTTTCCGCCTCATTGAGTCATGTAATTGGACTTTGGATGGGCACTCATTGATGAAAAAATATGAAATGAAGAGAAATAAAATAGAATGATATTAGTTATTGGGTTAGGATCATTTTACATCAATGTAAGTTACACTCTTAATCTTGTCCACTGATTTCATTTATATTTAAGGGCTCAAATTTTTTAGTAATGTGAGCCATTGGATACAAGTGGATCAATGGTCAAGATTGAGTGTAAAACTTCTAACTCTTACACTAATGTAAGAATATCCTTTCCCTTAGTTATTTGGGTCGGCTTATATTACTTGCCAAATTATTTTTTCAACTTTTATTATCACTTTTGCACCATTAAAATGATATTTAAAATTAATGACTTCTAAGCTCGCTGCATCCGATTATTTTCTTTTTCTTTTTTCTCCCTCTTCAAGTAGTGAGATCCAGATATTATCCAACTGTACAAAAATAATAGTAAAGGTAGAAAAATTAAAGTGATAGGTAATATAACTCGCATCTGGTTATTATTATTTAAATAATCTAAAAGATGAAATAAAATACAACCAGATGGAATCTATTTTATTCTATTATTTTTCCCTTTAATTTAGAAGGTATAAGAGATAACCAATTTATCATTTACTAATTTTTTTTTTTATCATTCCATTTATTTTTCAAATAATGAAATAAAAAGTAATTTTATTCTATCATATCATATTATTTTCCATTTCTATCTCACTCACCGTCAAACGTCAAAACAGAAATACATAACAGTACTATCCAGTCTCCGGAACACTGATCAAAATGTCACTCTTCACCAAATTTTTTTATCTAAATGTCACGAGAGCAAGTTCGCTACCCTGTGTAGCGAACTCGGTTTGCTGACGTGTCACATTTTTAATGGATAACAAATATCAAATTTTTTAAAAAAATAATAAAAAAATAAAGGTGGCCGCCTACCATGTAGGCGAACTTGGTTAAAATCAAGTTGGTGTTCACTAGAAACGTGACACGTCAGCAAACCGAGTTCGCTACATCGGGTAGCGAACTTGCCCCTGTGACAGATTGAGAAATAACATTGTTCGTATGACATTTAGGTAAAAAAGTTGATGAACAGTGATATTTTGGCCACTGTTCCCAATCTCCACTCTCCAGTCTCAGTACCGTAATTAGTGGATTTGGTTTGATTAAAAGTAGCACCTTGAAAAAGGCAATGATTAATAAATGATATCAACTTTCGTGATAGATACAACCACTTAATCTCAACCAAATTATGAGCCTTTTCTTTTACCACAATCTAAGCTTTGTACGTCACTTTGCTGTGTCTCGGCCACGGGCATTTGAAAACACATCAACAGGGGCAACGTGTGCGTGATAGGAAAGCTTCCACATATTATTGTGGGGCTTGCTAATTGACTTTATTCGAAAATAGATGGAAACATGATAATAATATCTTTGCTTCAGTTTAATCAACTCAGAACCTTTGGTCTTGATCGATATAAACGGGGGTCAGTTTTCACATAAAGAGAAAAAGCATATCCACCTTGTGTCATCACATCAACGAATACAATCATACAATTACACAAACCAGCTTTCAACACATTGTTCGCTTTACACAACTGTTGCATCTTATTGATAAATTCTGGTATTCAGCATTCATATTTTTACAAAATTTATCAAACGAAAAACTTTACCAAGTGCTCGCACAGCTAGTCGGCAAGTCTGTTATCGGCATAACTTGCAGAAGTGAAATGAAAATTCAATTCTTGGTAGGTGTAAGTGTAACGATATGAAATCAGTCCTTGCTAAATAGTGAAATAAGGCGCAAATAAATACTGAATAGTTTTGGCACTTGGGCTAGAATTAAATTAATGTGGAGAATATGAATAATAAATTTAATACAAGAGCAACAAAAGCCAGTAAGATGTTCAAGGTTTAAAACATATCTAGTCCTGAATCCTGACACCCAAAAGGTTTGGGCACAGAGATTGGAGTCTGGACTCTCAATTTCTCAAATTTGGTCTTAAGTTCACTATGGAAGGACAAGAGTGATTTCTGACGACAGGCAAAAGCTGCAGCAAACTGCTTAACCTCCCCTTCTAGATTTTTCCTTCTCTGTACTTCAGTATTTAAATCTTTCAAGGCATTTTCCTTCTCGTATGATTCAGAGAACTTCTTCAGCAAAGAGTCTCTTTCCTCCTTCAAAAGTTGTAACTCCCTTTCCAGATTTTCACATCTTTCATTTAAATCCTCCTTGGAGTAAGCAATTTCTCCTCCCACACCAGAGCCCTTCGTCACAAAAATTTAGTTTAGGACAATCAAGAACAACCTACTATGCTTTGTCTCAAATTTTATGCTAAAATGCAGTTCTATCTTTTCATCTATGGAGCTCTTCAAAAAACTGAGTGCACATATCTGTGCTTGCACTAGTGAAGTCATCTTATACACTTTAATCTCTTTGCAACTTCCTTCAGCGTGACTTTTGATCTCTCTAAACAATTCAATCTATTATTCTCTTCAATAGCATGTAGTTCTATAAAAAAGCTAAAAACGAATCAATATACAAGTCTCTAACTCTATCAAGTGATTGTCCTGATTGTTCATTCCTAACCAATAGAAACTCCTCAACTTTTCCCACATTCCGTTAGTTCACTTTGGAGGTAAAGTTATGACAATTCATATGGATAGGACAAGGTACCACAATATGAAGCAAGTCGAATCTTAATAGAGACCTACACCTAACCTACAGGGAAATGAAATCTTATAATCTTTCTAATAATTTTTTCAGAAGAAGCTATTAATAATCTGTCTAATCATTTTTACAAAAGAAGCTGAATAGTGAATCATTCCCTTCATTTGAAGTTTATTATAAGGAAAAATGTGTATCTATGAATAAATCAGCCATAATATGGATTTAAGCTTCTGTATATAATTTGAAGAGCATTTACTATTTCATATGAGACCATGAGAGGTATCTCAATGTATTTCTTACAATCCTGATGTGACAGCATATTCCACAACGAAGGACTAAATGAGTTAACAATGATTTTCACCGTTTTAAAAAGAGGATAATCACATGAAAAGCTACTATGTCTATATTTTCTCAATTACTTGCTCAATTTCAGCCATTGTATTAATGGAAACATAGTTCTGGAAAAAGACACGAGATATCCTAAAAATAAGACAAAGAATAAAATCGAGATTGATGATTGAAATCTTGATATTTGTGGCCAGACAACTACCTTAGGTTTACAGCTGCACAAAGGACTCTTCTCCTGCCCTCCTGTTATTGAGCTTTCTGATAACTCCAGTGATGTAATTATATTATTCATCCTCGCATGAAACACTTTTTGTTGTTCATGGATTAAAGCATAGTTCCCCGAGGAAGACCTTTCACCATCCATATTCACTGTAAAGTGAGCTTCCAAAGTTGCAAACAGCTGTGCACTAATTTCACTCATGGTTGAAAGCATCTTTGCAGTCGACAATTTGCCACCCGATGCAAATCTCTGTTTAGAACACTTGAGAAAATTAATTTACTGTTTCTTGAAATGACCAAGGCAAATAAAGGTTGAAAGAAACTGATATGGTGCACAAATTCGACCTGCATTACTGACAAAACCCCCTCAAAGCTGTCTTTGAAGTTTTCCACAGATTTAGATAACCTCAGAGGCAATTCTTGAATCAATCGTGTTTCTTGTTGATGTTCAGGTGTCTCACCCATTAATTGCTTGCTCGATTGTACTTCGTCTGACTGCTTTCTCTGGTTTCAAATGCATCAACACAGCCATGCACAATACAGAGAACGGTTTACAAAAAGGAGCTCAAAAGGCAAAGGCCAGTAGTATATAACATCAAGTCCATCAAGATAGTATTGAGAAATATTATGGATGTTCAAATATGTACAGAAACGATGCTTTATATCCCTATATCAGCAGCACCTAATGGATTCAAATATTGAGAAACCAAATTGGAAATATTCTAGAGGAGGGTTCCCATTATCATAAAGGGCAAAGGCCAAACCCCGAGACACAAGACTTCCCAATTTGCTAGGTAGTGGTGAGGGTCGATTAGTCGATTATATGCAACCATATCTTTACTTTTTTGTAAAAAGACTGTTTCTCAGGTGAACCCATGACATTTCGGTCACAAGGAACAACCTTCCGGTCCCATTATCATAATTATAATTAATAATTTAATGCTGGAAGAAGTATCACTTTTTATTCAAAGACTCAAGTCAAACAATTTTGTTTGAATGATCTTCTAGCTTAATCACAGTTTTATACATGTTAAATTTCATTTTCATCGAAGAGAGTGTTAGTATATCAGATACTGACCTCGAGTTCATTTATCTTTTCATTTGCAAGTTCTAATTGTCTCCTCAAATCTTGAATCTCTCGTTCATACTTTTCAAATTCACTTATGCAACCCTGAAAAACAAAAGCCAAATGAAAACAACTACAAAAAAACGGCATATATATTTAATAATAACAAAAATCCATATTATTAGGGTATTACTTAAAAGCAATGGATTAGCAATGTAGTTCATAAACTGTTGTTAAACCACTATGTTTTGCACAAATTCCAGTTTACATAAAACCTTTAACACATAATCATGGCAAGATGAGCCTATAATGGTTGAATACCATTTGATGAAAACGGTAAAACCAACAAGAATAGCTCAACAATAGAGGAAATGTTGTAAAATTCATTAACCAAATGAAGAAGAGAAAAATCTCCACCAAGTATGACTAGACACGGATCTCTCTTCTATATCTTATATCTTCAGTTATGGAGGACAACCCGTACATATAGCCACTCTTCCTTTTCTTTTCACTTTGTTCCTTTTGGTGGAGATTCGGATTGATACAAAAGAAAAGAAAATGCAAGGGCAAGACATAAACGAAAAGTTCTTTAGTAAAAAAATTAAATAAGAACTCACAGGAGTTGTATCACTTGCTGGGAATGAGTGAACTTTTCGAGTGGGAGTAATTTGAAGTGAATCAAGGTCTGCAACATAACCATTATTCATTTTCAACCACATATCTTCATCAGCCACATTGCTCACATTGCTGAAAGAATCTGGAAGAGGGCTATAATCTGGCAATGTTGAATACTTTGATCGCTTGGCAACAAAAGAATTCGGAGCTGTCTTTAAACAGGGAGATTTAAAAGCATCTCCTTGAGATGTACTATTAATGTCATTGTCCTCTTCCGTATATCTGTGCCTCAAAGATCCCGGTCCCTAATAGTACATTTGGAACAACAAAATGGAGAAAAAGTATCAGGAAGAAAAGAGAGGGAAAGAAAATCAAGTTGACTATAAAGCAGCACAAAAAGGAATTCTCTGAATTGTTCAACGGGAACAAAAATGGTCATGCAAATCCAAAATAACATAAGGATCTAAATAGAGCAGAAAAAAGAATAACTTTCCTAGTACAGGCTAACGGCCATATGAGAACTTATTAGCATATTTAAAAGGTTCTTTCTGGCCATATTATTTTTTTTACTAAATTCTGGCCATATTATTTCATTCCTTTATGAGGTGTACCTGACTGCCGTTTGTCCCACAGTCTGAGAAAGATTTAGTGCTGGAGTTTTCAATTTTCATCTGTTGCTCCCTAATCCATTGATCACGTGATTTCCTCTCCTCTTGTAGTTCCATTTCAAGCTTCCCACGCTCCATTTCATACTATACAGTGGAAAATGAACAGATAATTAATACAAAAAGATAAAATACAGTTCACGTAATGTTTTTCGCATTAATTTAATGGCTAGCTCTGCAGAGTGCAGACAAACTTGAAAGGTAAAACCTGCCTTGAGCATATCGTTCCTGAGTTTAAGAATCTCTTGCTCGAGCACCTCAGCATGGGATCCCTAAATAGAAACTTAAATTATGTAAGATTCTCTGACTTGAATGTTAATATTTTCATCAGAAGAAGATTACCTGAAGTTTCTTACGTAGCTCCTCTATCTCTAACTGTTGCCGCTTTAACAAGGCTGCATCCGTTAAAATCTGTAAAATTCCCACCGTCAAGAAAGAGCTTTAGCCAAAAATGTGCTGGAAATGAAGTACCAACATGCAAATGGAGGCAAGCCATATACGCATATAGCTGGGAAAAAATTGAAGGTTCAGTATTTGAAAACCTATGTTAACTATTTTTTGACAAAAACTAGTAAAATATATGCTATTTTCTCGTTCTCTTAAGATGATTCTCAACATTCAAGGTTCGATATTATCTCCTCCAATAGCTAGTTACGTAGAATATCCATTCAATTGAATCATCAGACACTAGGCAAGGACTGCATATATGTGTGAATTGCTTAAAAACTAATATGCATGCTCAGTAAGATCTGCATGATGGAAAATGACAGGTCACGGCAAAGTGTAAACATTTCACAATTCGAAGAACCTAAAAGTGGCAACACAAGCACCCACGAAACCTACACCAAGTAACGATGGCGTAGACCGTAGTGAAAATCATGGGAAAATACAATTAAGCAATATGAAACATATAAGGCAATAAAACAAAATTAAATTGGGTAACAAAACAGTAAATTTGATGTGCATAAAATACACGGACCTCGTTCACTTGAGCACAATTCGTTATGCGTTTGGCTCTACTAGCAAACTGAAGAGTTCCCTTTGTTTCTTCAATGTGAATCTAAACGGATTGACGAATGTTGCAATTAAAATCATATATTAATCACCAAAGATGAAAAGAGTAACACAAAACCGAAACCACAGCCTCAACCTCTTCTGGTGCTATGGTGCAAATAATGGACGTTTTGGCATTACCACCAAGAGCAGGTTGGAGTATACGAGTTAATTTACTATCACGATACGGGATATGCCCCCTGCCATAAAACCAAAAAAGGTTGAACATTATTCTCTTCTAAAGCCATTAAAATACTATACAGAAGGCAGTGGAAAAAATATACCTTTGCTTCGAACCCTCACTTAGTTTGTTAATAACATTTCCCAAAACCATCAGGCTCTTGTTGATATATTTTCCTTCTTTTAAACGAACTCCGTCTGCTCCAGTCTTAGCAATCCTTTCAGAGCCAGCTAAATCTACTAAATTCTAATTCCACAAACTCAACAATAAGTATGCAACTTGTAAGAAATGCTTATAAGGAAGGTGACAACAAAAATGAAAATACAAACCAAGACTGAAACTCGAACAACGTCACTAATTGAATAATCATTTGAAGAATTGGAATCCTTCCCTTTGCTTTCAATCACCTGCGTAGTTGATTAAAAAGCATATGATTTAGGATTATTTTTATAAGGAAAGGTATTCTGTAAAACATATGTATTGCAATTAAAAATAAATAAATAAGTTTAAGGGATTAAGGGATACCATTCTAAATATTGTATGCGACCTGCTACTCCTTACATTCATATTTGTCTCACCAAAATGCCTGTTAACTGTAATAACATCAAAGAACAATGTTTTCCAACTTAAATATAGCATGCATGTTCAAACTTCAAAGAAAATTATAAAAATGTAGAAACTACAAAACAAACCTTCCCCTGCTTTAATGAGATTTAGAACTTGTTCGGCATTATTAACAATTTCCTCTCGGAGACCTGCAACAAATACTCCACGCTGGAAATTACAAAAAAAAATTAAAAAAATTAACAATAATAAAAATCAGCACATCTATACATGTATTGTATTGTATACAACTACATTAACCATAATAAAAAATTATAAAAATAAAATAAAATTAGTAGCACATAGCCAACCTCCAAACTCTCATGAATTTGCAACTTCTGATTTTCAACAACAAGAAGATCATTAATTTCTTCATTATAGATCTCCATGTAGGAAACTCGTATTAGAAACTCTCGATCAGACATCTGAGAACACCAAATTGATGGAACCAAACATCATCAGCATTGCAAGAACAGGCACACAGGACTCTTAAAAAAACAACTCGTATAGCAAACGCGGTTATCAAAATCTACCGTCTCAATTTTCGCAAACACATCTTTGATTGCCTGAGGAATCACTCCTGGATCAGTCTCAGAACCATTCATGGTGAAGGTCTTGCCACTACTTGTCTGTCCATAAGCAAATGCAGTTCCTAACAATATAATATAATCTCAATAATCAACATTTACATCCAACTCCAAGTGACACGGCGCGTTATAATTAATTTCTAATAGTAAGTAACGGTTGTCATAATTTGAAAACATATGATTATGAAGTAATAGTTTAATTAACACTTGAGCTAAGCTAGGTGTTACTGAATTCCAACTAATTATTACAAAAATTATAGTATATGCAAGAAAAATAATGAAATTTGAACTTCCGATACCGTTGAAGCCATCGAGCGCGGCAAGAATGATATCCTTGGTGAGGAGCTCGTAGACACTAGCATTCGTGCTACTTTCGTCGAATATATGATCTGAAAATGTGTGAAAATATATGGTGAATATTGTCAAAGAGGAATTTGCGAAAATCAGAAGCAAGACACATGAAATGGATAATATTACCGAAAGCGTAAGAAGAGCCAGAAAGTGGAGTGCCATGGATCCTGTGAAGAGAGATGCGGTTCTCTTCAACCTTCCAGAAGCTTCCACTGAAGGAATCTTGGGAAACCGGAGGCCGAAGTCGAACAGCGACGCAGATCTTCTCCATTTTTCTTCTGATTGCGAACAAGAGCGGGATCAGCTACAACCCTTTTTTGTTTACTAGATTTGAATTTTTCTCCATTGACGGAAATACCCTCTTGGGCCTTGGCCCAATGGATTAATATGGGCCTTAATAAGGATCGGCCTGTTAAATTGTAACATTTGACGGGCTAGATGGGCCCGCTAATGCGACTAGACATGTTTACGTAACTCGTGTAACTTTAATCTTTACCACTAATTGGTCTCTCCCTCTCTGTTAAAATTGTTATGTACGGTTAAAGAAATATGATATAAAAATATTTAATATAATTTATATTTGAGGAATGATCCGTTTATAAATTTTTTTACAAATTACACTGAGTATGACTGGTCATACACTTTTAATTGAAGTATGACTAGTTATACTTATTGTAGTTTGTAAACATAACATTTCCCTTTATACTTAGGTTAAGTTCTAGGATTAAAATAAAAATAAAAATCTAACTGAAAGTCTTGTGAATAAAAAGAGGACGTTGGAGAATTATAAAATTATTAATATAGTCTCACCGAACAGATTAAACTTTTTGGTAAAAGGATTCTTTATATGGTGTAAAGTTGACATGACTAGGTGGTCATGAGTTTGATACTCACTAGCTCACCGCCCCATTTTATGTTGGGTATATTAATAATATAATCCAATAGTATGTTTACATATAAGCCCAATAGATGAAAACATGGTTATTCGGGTCCATATGGGCTGTAGCCCAATAGCTTGCATTATATCTAGGGTTTCCTAAGCTAGAGGTAACACTGTGGAACTTCCAAACTTGATGTCTCTTGGTGTAATACTTCAAGCACCTCTAAACCCTTCTCTCTCAAATTCATAACCTCTAACAATCTTGAAGTATTAGCTTCGTGTGTCGGATTTGAGCGAGTAAGGTGTCTATTCGAAGATCTCATCGAGTGGAACTCATATTTTAAACACTTTCGCGATTCGACTGAAGGATTTATCGGGATCTGAGTTTGAAGAAACTGGAGCCGGCAACTTTTCGGTCCAAATCTCGAAAATTGCAGCCATTTGCAGGAAGTGATACCTAATAGGTTTTGTTCTACTCGTCGAGACGGTCGTTTTGAGTGGTCACTCGCCTTAAACAGAGATCGGACGAAGGAGATATGGTCGTTTGAAGTGTTAGGTACACTTTTATGCGAAAAAGAATATTTCTGCGAAAAGAATATTCCGAGAGAATATTCTGTTAGTTGGGGAATATTATGCAGGGGACATTTTAAAAATCAGAAAATGTTCCGGTGAATTTTTGGCAACAGGGGTAGTCGTTCTTAAAGTTTTTGGGCGCTCTGGATCTGTTTTTGGGGTCTATTTTGGCAGATTTCAAGTCTACAGAGCAGTTTAATGAAAGTTGGAGACTTTTCTTTAATTTGTGAAGTCTGTGAACTACAAGGTGCACTCTTTCTAACTCTAAGCTCTGATTAAAAAAGGGTAAACGTAGTTCTTATGATATTATAAAATACAATCATTGATGTTATTGAATTTTATTGTTGGAAATTACATGTTCAATTTGGCATGAAAGAACGTGAAATATTCCATAATGTATTAAATGATTTTGCATCTACCATTAAAAAATGTGTATAAATATCAATGGAACAAAGATGGAAATTTTGTATGGATTACTTGCTAAATTCTCTAAATCTTTGTCTAGCTATAACTTGTAGTGAGTATAAGACGACGAAAAAGATATGAGATCATTTCCAAAAACAAGAGGGGTTCTCCAAAACTCTCTTAGCAGATAATTCTTTTTTTGATTTCGAATTTACTATGGATTCAAGAATCACCTCTTAATTAATTAAATTAGTGGACATGAGGAACAAGCTTAAAGATGATAAATCTAATATGTCTGATAATCTCTTTGTCGATCTTGTGTTGAGTAAGCTACTTGCTGAATAGAGTTCTTTTAAGACTGAAATGCACAGACTAAAAGAATAGAGTGAACTGGATAAATTAAAGAGGTTTATTTACATCGAGAATCAAAACTATCTTAAGAAGAGTTTGGAACAAATAGGACAACAAAAGTTAGTTGCCTACTTAGTTTCATATTCCAATAAACCTCAAAAGAAGTCCAAGTCACCAAAAGGTGAATCCTCTTCATAGTTAGAGGCCAAAAAGACTATCTTTAAAAGAAGAAAAACAAGTGTCATAACTGTGGAAAGTGGGATCACTGGGCAGCAGAGTGTAAGCTACCAAATAAGTTAAAGAATAACACACCACAAAATGAAGCTAATATGTTAACTAATGAACCTGAGCCTCAAGCTTTCATTGGAATGATGAAGAATGAAAAGGCCAGTGTCTCTTCTGAGTGGTGGTTGGAGAGCGGTGCTACCTGTTATACTACAAATGATAGGAATTTACTCACTAAGGTCATAAAAATGAAAGATACAATGGAAAATTGCAGTGGTGATGAGACAGATGTGAATCATATTGGAACTGTAAATTTAGTGCTTTTTCAAGTAAATTACTAACTCTAAAACAAGTTAGAGTAGTACTTTTCCTTAAAAGAAAATTGATATCTTTGCTTGATAAATCTTGTATGCCTTTCTCAACTATGAATGGTTGAGTAACTTTATTTGTTAACTCGTTATTTTGGTTGTGCATTCATGATTAATGGTATGTATAGATTGAGTTTATATACTGTGAGCATAAACCATGTGAGTTCAACTTTGATTGATCCAAAGTTGTTACATAATAGACTTGGACACGTGAACTACAGGAAAATGCAACATCTAGCTAAAACTCTTGACACTCCATTAAATGCTTTTATTTGATTTGACAAATGTGAAGTATGTGCACAAACTAAGATCACTAGCAAATCTAAAAGCACATAAATTCTTAATCTCATACATTCTGACCTTTGTGACTTTAGAAATTATATTACTAGAGGTGGTCAGAAGTACTTAATAACATTCATAGACGATTTTTCTAGATATTGTCATGTCTATTTGTTGAAATCGAAAGATGAAGTTTTTGAAAGGTTTTAGATTTTTAAGTCAAGAGTAAAAAACCAACTCTACTTGAAAATTAAGAGGTTTAGGAGTGATAGAGGAGGAGAGTACACAATGACAGGGTTCAAGAAATTTTGCGCTTCGGAGGGCATAATACTTGAAACCACTGCTCCTTACTCACCCCAATCAACTGGTGTTGCTGAGCGCAAGAATAGGACATTAACTGACATGTTAAACTCTATGTTACTTACAGCTGGCATGCCTTCCTCCTATTGGGGAGAAGCAGTTCTAACTGCCAATCACATCCTGAATAGGTTGTTGCACTTAAGTTGTCTATGACTCCTTATGAGATATGGCATAAGCGCTCTTGTAGATATGATACTCTTAAGACTTGGGGATGTATTGCTTATGAAAGAATACAATATCCTAAGAGACCTAAGGTGGGACCTAGAACTATTATTTATGTATATTTGGGAAGTGCAGAAGACAGTGCTGCAAATAGGTTTTTGGATCTATCTACAAATGCGGTGATAGAATCCAGAGATGCATAATTCTTTAAGAATAAGTTTATCAAAGATCATGGCTTGAGTGTTTCTGGATCTATAGATATGATTTTAGAATCTCATATAGAATCTGAAGCAAGCCCTTCTGACATTTACCCCACACAACTGGCTGTTGAATCAGTTCCCGTTAGAGTATCTACGAGAGAGAGTTCCCAAAGACTTTAGCGAGGACTTTGTCACTTACCATCTAGAGGATGATCCATTCTCCTATCAGGAAGCAATGAGATCTAGAGAATCTCTACTGTGGGCAGAAGCCATAGATGATGAAATGAGCTCTCTGCTGCATAATCATACTTGACAGCTAGTCAATTTGCCGAAAGGGGCTAAGGCTATAGGTTGTAAGCTGGGAGTGAAGAAGAAACTGAATAATGATGGATCGATAGCCAGATACAAAACACATTTTGTAGCTAAAGGGTATAGACAAAAAAGTGAAGTAGACTATTTTGATAGATAACACCTGTGTGTTATCTATCAACTATAAGAATTCTTCTTGCTTTGACATCTATTGAACACTATGTAGTGCATGAAATGGATGTAAAGACAACTAGTGGATGACATGTTAATTCTTGGTTTTGATCATTCTGTAGTGAGTGACATGAAAGCTAATTTAGCTAAAAAAATTGACATGAAAGATCTTGGTATTGCAAATACCATTCTTGGTATGAAAGTAAGCTTTGATAGGCAAGTTATCTCCCTTAGCCAGACTCATTATATTGAGCAGCTACTTTCTACCTGGGGATACAGTGAGTGCAAACTGAGTGAGACACCATGTGATTATAATAATAGACTAAGTCCTCATGAAGGGATCAATGTGGATCAGTTAAAGTATTCAAAACTGATTGGTAGTCTCATATATGCTGCAAGTTGCACTAAACCTGACATAGCCTTTACAGTTGGCATGTTGAGTCATTTCACTAGTAATCCTAGTAAAGAGCATTGAGATTCCCTCGATAGGCTGATGCGATATCCTAAAGGTACTAAAGATTATGCTCTACACTACTCTGGTTATCCTTCAATTGTGGATTAATATTCTGATACGTCATGGTGTTCAGAAATCAGAAATAGTAAGTTCACCAGTGGATATGTATTCACTTTGAGTGGAGCTACTATTGCTTGGAAAACCAAAAGATAGACTTGTATTGCATTGTCGTCTATGAAATCAGAACTTTTTGCTTTAGCCTTAGCCGGCGAAGAGGCAAAATGGATAAAGTATCTGATTATGGATATTCTTTGACTCGGTTAAAGATTAATTCTTTAAGCCTATTTTGTGATAATCAAGCAGATGTCCAAGTTGTTAAAAATGCTCTCTTTAATTCAAAGAGAAGACATATAAGATTGAGACATGCATTGTTGAATTATCTAAGAAAACAAGGAGTTATCACCTTGATCGATGTGAGATCCAAGGATAACTTGGCTAATGCTCTCACAAAAGATATGCCTAAAGATCGATTAT